TTGGTAATATTTAATCTGATCAGAAATTGGTCCAGAAACACCATAATCTTTCAGCTTAGGAAGAAAGACAGCATGCCAAAACTGCCATATCGAGATATGTAAAGCAACAGCCCTGAAATGAAATAAGACCCTGAAATGAAATGCTTAAACAATTCGGAGTTTATTAGAAAATCTAATATTTTGTGAAAAAGTTGTAAATTACTAAGAGTGTAGGCGAGTTATATGAGTAAATAATTTTACACTTTTACATTTATATATACAAAACAGACGCTAAAAACGAGAAAGAGCCAGGCGTGCAAACAGCAAAACGAGTTTTATTTATTATCTTGTTGCTATGTGCTGTTGGCAACACGAGAGACAGCAATTTTGAATAAAATTGTGAGGTTGGGTTCAAATGTAGATCAAATATTGGATCGGAATGCAACAGAAAGACAACATAAATATAAGCAAATTGTATAGTCTTTCTCGTATGCTTACTTTTTTAGATGTGTATAATACGTATGTAGACAATTAAGTTGGAAAAATGTCTTCGGTGTTTTCTTACCTCGAATTATTGTTGAGTGCTAAAAGATAATTTTTGCTATTAAGGCCTGAAAAAGGAAAAGGAGATGAAATTTTCGTTGACGCATGTGTTAACAACCTGTCCGTATGAACTGCTTGTCCGATAGGGAGAATAACACGTGTGTGAATTCTGAATGTTTAAGAATTAGTAAATAAATTATAATTGATATAATTATTTTATTCCAGTTATTGTTACACTATAATTATTTTTATTTATTCACATTTTGTGGATATGAGAAAGTGAGGGTAAATTTATGTATTTCATTTTTGGACACCACATAGTCAATTGATAGGATTTTCAGTGTAAGTGACATACAAAGACATATTTAAAGAATGATAACTATATTTTTGTGATTTTAATGGGAGTTAAAATGATTAATTAGAAACAAATATAGGGAAATATGATACGATAGTTTAAAATACTAACAACGTTACTTTCCCCGGAATTTTACAAAATTCAAGAATCATTGTACATAATCATTGTTTCTCTATGTGGTTATCTGTAAGAGAGGGAACAATGGAGAACGAAAGAAAACATTTTAAAAACTGTGCAGTCGAATTCTCTGTCTTTGGCAGAATTGAACCCAGACGAGGCTTTGTCGAAGAGCAAAGTTTCGTCCGCAGAGGTAGACAGGCCCTGACTCCGTTTATGCAGGTTCTAAGGGAATATTTTTGGCCGGGCGTACGGGCTCGGAGAACCCACAGTACACTCGATCTTGTGGGGGTCGGGCCTGTTAAATATTAACATTTTAAAAAACGCTATTCTCCTTATGAAACTAAGCGTACCATTTAGAAAATCCAGACGAGTCGGATGTGTCCAGCGAGTCGCAGTTTGCCCGAAAGCATACAATTATAAAATTGATTTTGTGATCGGTGTAATAACAATGTTTTTTTTTTATTTCATTGATTCATGTTAAGATTTAGTGAAGCTGAACTCTGCAGTTTTCCATTACGTTTTTTATAACATTCATGAGTGTTATTCTTAATAAATAATTAATAAGAAAATACAATATAAATATTTGTTTGCTTCTTCTAAAACGATAAAAAAATCATATAATAGCATCAGCATTCATTACTCAGTGTTTAGCAAAATTTTTTATATCCGACTAATTTTTGCTCTTTATTAGCCATCGAACTTTGTAAATTCTTATCAAATACTTCCTTTGTGATAACATTTTTAAAATATTTACAACGGTCAAAAACGGCCTAACTCTAGTTGAATAATTAATAACATAGAATTTAACAATGATACACTTCAAAATGAATTTTTGTTTGTTGACGGAAATTGTAAATTATTAACATCGTTACTTTTTATAACGGGATTCAGTTTCCGTTTATGTATGTTTGTATTTGTGTGTATTGCCTGCCTAAACCTGATTCTCCAGCCTTTATAGTGTACAAAAGCGTCCCCGAGTCCTTGTGAGGCCACGCGAGGTAGAGGTTTACGTTAAGAAAGCAATCTGTGTAGAAAGAATGTTACGATTACGGTTCTGCTAAAATATTAACATCATGTTTATATTTTTTTTAATTGTGTCTATAAGTTTATAGATAATTCAGTTGGAAAAAAATGTCTCCGGTGTTTACTTACCTTGACTTTTTGTTGAGTGCTAAAAGATATATCTTACTATTAAGTCCTGAAAAAGGAAAAGGAGATGAAATTTTCGTTCTCCCTTGTTCACTGTCTTACAGATAACCACATAGAGAAACAATGATTACATACAATGATTCTTGAATTTTGTAAAATTCTGGGGAAAGTAACGTTGTTAGCATTTTAAATTATCTCATCATATTTCACTATATTTGTTTCTAATTAATCATTTTAACTTCCCGTAGAATAACAAAAATCTAGTCATCCAACCTCCAACATCTCGCCCAAAGGTTGAGTGTGGAAAGTTTCTCGTTGCTCTATCATTACTTCCACGGAAAGTGCTCAGACAAGCATTTCCTGGTCCCGCCAATTCAAACCTTCTGGGCAAGGAAACGATACATGGTAACACACCAACTTCGTTCCCTCTGCATTCCATCGGTGAGAAGTAAGTACAGATTTTGTCCCGCGAGCCAATGTTCTGTGGAACCAACTACCAACTCACAACTCTTTGTGTCCTGTCACTGGATCTAACCAACGCCTTTTGTATTTTCTACTTGTATTTTTCCGATAGGTATCTGATAATTTTATGTGTGTGTGTGTCTTGAAATAGTTCCTGATGCAGCTGTGGGTCGGATAGGTGTAACGTAAGGCGTCTGGATAGGAACCTACTAGTGTGACTGATGTAATTATTTATGAGTTCGGTTTGGTCAAGAACACAGTTCCTCAATCTCTGCTACGTAGACGATATTTTTTTATTTTTGCGAAAAACACAAAAGAAATAGATATTCTGAAGCTCACAACTGAAAAGACCCTGTCTTTAATTTTACTTACGAACTTAGTCAAAAAATATAAACTCTCATTCTTAGACGTTCTCGTAGAATACATTAACAACACTTTTACCAACTCATTCTATAAAAAATCACTAGCAGAAACTAAAGAGAGCGCACGAGAATTTATCCTCTCCTTTAATTTTTCTTAAAGAATTCAACAATGCAAAGTAGACACTAGTTAACAATGGCTTTCCTAATCACCTCCTAGAACAACAAATTAGGCTACTTCTTTCCAAAGTAAATAACTATAGTGAACAGACAATCAAAAATAATATAAATATTTTCCACAAGAGTCAAATACACGTGAACTACAAACAAAAATATTGACTTAGGAATATCATTAAAGAAATACACTACCTCAACTGAACCGAAAAGAAAGTAAATTAATGATCTACAATAAAAAATTAAAACAACTAACCTTATCCTCAAAAATAACAAAACACGCAAAATCAAAATTACAATGAACAAACATTCGTCACGAGTTCAGATGTCCCTTAAAGAAATATGTCCCTGATCAAACCAAACTCAAATAATTAAATCTGTCACACTACTACATGCCTATCCAGACGCCTTACGTTACACCTATCCGACCACAGCTCCATCAGAACACATTTAAACATATTTACCAGATTCCATCCTAAACATGCTAGTAGAAAATACATGCATAATAACCTCATCTACATGTAAAGAAAATGTTAAAAGTAACGGAGGCCTTAATAATAAAAATGAAAAAGCCAACCCCCAATAATATTAACTAGGAACACGTCCACAATTTGCTAACCGTGTTCGGAAAATAAAATATCCCTATAACACTAGAAGCATACACAAAACCCATGCATCCAGTTAAAGGTAAAAGTAAAATAATCCTTGATAATGGCTAAAATTATAGCTGTAAACGCTCGGAATTATAGAACATTTGGACAGTTTCTACACACTCTTTGTCCAGAAAAGAAAACACTTGTTCGAACACAAGAAACATTGAATAAAAAGGTTAATCGCAGTACCTTGTCTGTCGTCTTTGACGAAACATCTGTAAATGAGAAAAGTTTTTGCTTAAATACACAATATATATATATATATATATATATATAATCATTTTTGTCTGTGTGGATACATCTCTCTCTACTTTTATTTTTGTAATCCGACATTTTTTCTTATGACTGACTTTCCTCTTTTCTTTAACAGTAAAAATTGATGTCTGGCAGTGTAGATACTTCACTGTTTAAAAGAAAATCATGGATATTTAATCGAAAACGTATCTTTCAATATTTATTGTCTCAGTCTATGTAATATTCTGAAAAAATTATTTGAAAGAAATATATAAAATTCAACAAAATATGTCGGAAAAGAAATCTCGTAATAAGATTTATTTCAACTTAAATTTTCCCCGTGACCCCAATGTGCAAAGATTGATAATCTCACAAGTACCAATTAAATATCAGTGTGTAACTATCAAATTTCTAAAAGTTGGTTTGATAAGCATCTGTTTCTAATAGAAAATCAATGGCACGTTTAAATTTGAATCCCTATCAGGAAAAATATCTCCACATTAACCAGTGTTTGACTAAAAAGCAATGATTATCTTGGCCAGCTTGTTGCAACGGAATTCGATCACTTGTCTGAAAAATTGATTATGATTCAGAAAACTTGATAATTTCTTCTTTTATTCATTATCAGTGGTTCAAAATCAATTGTAAATCGTTTGATGGATCAAGTTAATTCAATGATGACTGATCCAGTAATGGCTAATTCAGAAAGTTACATTTGTTTCTCTATCGTAAAATACAGATAACACTCACCTACTCAGTCACCGTCCCCACCAAAAAGAAACAAAACAAAACAAAAAAAATAAATAATTGGAAACCGGTGACACATTTTCCAAATACGATCAATTCCAGAGATTTTTTTATTTTTTTCTTCAAAATATTTGCTTTTCTGGTTGAGACGTCATGATCTATATTTAAAATGATAAAAAAGGACTGTTTATTGGTAATTAGTGTTTCAACTTTTTTACGAAGTAAATGGTCATATTAGCCCTGCACCCCCTCGCATCGGTCGTGGGGGTTAAATTTGGACGAATTTTCTTATCTTTTTATTTCCAGACCTATTAGTTTAATTTGTAAATTTAAAATCTTTTTTATGCACGCGTATATATCAACTGTAATCTGACTTACTTCGGGTTTTGGTAACCAGTGTAAGTAAAATAATTGCTCGGTAACTGCATATTGTTTTAATAAAGGGCAATGGAACTTATACTAAGTTAAAACTGAAAAAAAACCTAATCATTTTATTCTATTCCATCACCTATATTTTATTTTCTTTTGTTTTATCTTTGACAAATACATTAAATCTGTTTTTTAACCATAAAACAAGGCAATAAAGGAACACAGGCCAAGAAATTATTGACTGTTAGAAAATGAGAAAATAGAACACATTAAAGTGAGAGAATATTAAAAGAAAAAGAATCAAGAAGACAGAAGATAGTGATTGACATTGTATTTAAATTTTTCGAGGATCAAACAAGACTCGAAGGCAAGAGAGTTCCACTAGCGAGATTTGTGAGAAAGGAAACATTTATCATATAATATACGCTTACATTTAGGCATTTCAAATGTAAAAGGATGAGACCTTGCCGCCAGCCTAGTACCGCCCTTACATTCATAAAGTTTGACCATAATAGAGGAAAGCACACCAAAACAATTACCACAAAATTATTTTTAGAAAAGTTATAGGGAAATTACGTTACAGAAGTGGCAAAGCAAATGAAGTCGATATATCATTTCAGGATGAATAACATTCCAGATTCTACTTTGTGTTTTATCAAGAATCTGTAAATTTGTAGCAGAAGCACTAGACCAAATTTGACAGTAATATTCAACACATGAACGAATAGTAGACTTATAAAGATGTGAATATCTGACGAAAACAACTGTGTAGCACGACAGAAACCAGTGATAAAGATAAAATCTTTCCTACAATTACACTAAAATTCATACATCAAATAAAATGTTAAATCTCGCCGAATTTTTAAATATCAAACGTATGAAAATTGCATTCAATTTTCTCGAGAAATGAGTGTAACTTATTATTGTGAGACCGGAAATTACCTACACAATAGACTGTTCCAGGCCTATATTAAGTAGGCGACATAGCACTCTAGAGAGTAACACACAGGGACACAGAGTGACATAGAGAGTGACCGTGACAGCCGCGTACGACTACCAGTATTGGACACTAACATATAGTAAGCTCCGCTTACACTATCTCTGTAACATGTTGTTAATATATCTTTCTTACATCTAATCCGTGTTCCGTGTTTTCCTTCTGTGGTCCTGACTTTGGCCCCACATCAGTGGCGACGAGGATTCTAGAAACGCACTCACGGCTAAACCTAAATACCTTATCAATCCCACATCTGTGTCGACGAAGAATTCGAGAAACGCATTCACGTCGAAAACCGCAATATTTTGCCAGTCCCACATCAGTGGCGACAGAAAGATTCGAGAATTTCGTTCTTACCATATCAATAGCGACAGTACTCCAAAATATATACAAACTACGGCGTTCCCACAGCAGTGTTGAACGATAAATTTAGCTGGTATTACTACATTAGCGATTTAAAAGCTGAACACCCAGCGTCTACATATATTCCAATACCAAACATCAGTGACGAGTAGTATTTCGACATCTACGGAATATTAAAGTCTGTCCAAATGACAATTCGAGAACGATTTCTACACACACACACACACACACACACACACACACACACACACACACACACACACACAGAAAAAAACAGTTGTTCGTAAAACAAACTGACAATACAAGAGCAAGTACTACCATTGTATTCAAGTTTTCGGAAAAAACTATCGAAAATTTTTTTATGTAACTGAGTTGAACTCGTGCATAAAATTCTCTCCCCTCAAATTCACTGAGGTGAGTTTTCTCTTTTTGTACCTTTCTAAAAAAAAAAATACATAAGTGTGGTGAAAAATTATTCAATTACGTTAAAATTAACGGAACCAGGGGAAAAAAAGCTAAACACATATAATTGGTTTAGTTTAACTAATTGTCTGTCCATATTTTTTTCCTGTAAAAGAAAAAAAAAGGAACAAAAATCTATCAAGATATTTTTTGTGTACCTCCTCTTAGTACACGTGTTTCAAACAAACAAAAAGAAGGGCTGTCATTTTTAAATATGGAAGATTTGCAAAAAGTAGTTGCCCAAATGTTAAAACTAAATTTGGATCAGCAACAAAAATCAGAAGAAAGACAACAACAACTATTTTTGGAATTACATAAACAACAAATGGAATTCCAACAAATTAAATAATTACTTGTAAATGCATTAAAATGCTCAAACTCTGAAAAAGATACAATATTCTCCCAGAATACAATCTACAATTCAATAGAAACATTTGAATACGTACCAGAGAACGGCAAAACGTTCGAGGCATTTTATATGCGCTACGAAGATATTTTCAACGTAGACTATGAACAATGGCCCAGTAAAAAAAAGGTACGTCTACTATTGACAAAACTAGGAACTACAGAATATAGTAGGTTCGTAGACTTCATACTACCCAAGAAAACGACTGACTTGGATTTTTCAGAGACTATTAAGCTCCTATCGGAACTATTCGGGCCTAACACAACATTGTTCCACAAACGTTGTAAAGACAACCAGCAAGATTTTCTAACGTTTGTAGCATCGGTAAACAAGCTCTGTAATGATTTTAAACTAGCCGAACTGACTGCCGATGATTTCAAGTGCTTGATTTTCGCACAAAGTCTAGTATCAGAAAAAGGCTCCGAAGTCAGACGACGGGTACTGACCAAGCTTGAGAACGAACAAGGATTGACTCTGCAAAAACTGGCAGAGGACTGTCAAAGAGTAATATCTGTAAAGTGTGACTCAAACACTATCGAGGAATCAGGTGTGGCTCAGATTAATAAAATCAGAAGTAAGTCTACCGCCTATTCCCCTCAAAAAGACAAAAGGCAAATCTCATGTCCTAAATTACGCAGTAACCAAAACCCAATTAGGTTAAAGAAACCGCCCGGATCATGTTACCATTGTGGTAAATGGCATTGGATGAAATTCTGTCCAGTTAAGAACAAAAGATATTGCAAAAATTGCAATAAAAGTGGGCATACTTTAACTTCGTGCTGGTACGCCAACAGAACGAGAAAACCCCAAAATAAAATTAGGCAAGCTCAATGTGACAATATTGTCGATAGGAATTTAAGAAAATATGTCACTGTGGATATTTTCAATAAGTCCATTAAATTCCAGCTTGGCTCGGGTTCCGATCTTTCAACCATTAACTGGCGTACTTGGCGAAAATTGAACAAGCCGACCTTATTAAAAACGGATAAAACAGCAAAATCCGTAACTGGCGAAAAATTTAACATTTTAGACGAGGTAATACTTACACTAAATGGAGTTACCAAAAAGCTCAAAGCCTACGTATTGAAAACTTCAGAAAACTTATTTGGAACTGATTGGATAGAAAAATTCAATCTTTGGCATTGCCCAGTGAGTACATTTTGTCGCAAGATACAAAGTACAACGTCCAATTTGGTAAATCTAAAAAAGGAACTCAAACAACAATTTCCCCAGGTTTTTTTCTGGCGGCCTTGGGAAATGCCCTAAAATGAAAGCTAAGTTCAAGGTGAAGGACGGTGCACAATCGGTATTCAAAAAGAAACGGAATGTCCCTTTCGCTGCTCTAGAGCAAATAAAGAAAGAGTTAGATAGACTCGAACAAGCAGGTATTCTGTCAAAAACAGATTTCAGCGAGTGGGCAGCAAAGACGGTCTACGTAAAAAAGAAGTCCAATCAAATACGAGCCAACGCAATCAGAAACATGCTGGCCCCAGATAACGTTCAAGCGTTACAAAGCTTCCGCGGCCTAGCTAACTTTTACCAAGGGTTCATTAAAAACATGCAAAATTTGAGAGGGCCTCTCAACCAACTCTTAAAAATGGATAAACCATGGTCATGGACCCTGGAATGCCAAGACGCATTCGAGAAGTTCAAGAAAACTCTTACTTCAGACCTCTCCCTCACACATTTCGACCCTAGTCTCGACATGATAGTCGCAAGTGATGTAAGCTCATACGTCATTGGTGTCAACAGTTTACGTAAACTGCCAGATGGTTCGCGAAAAGCTGTGGCTAACGCATCAAGATCTCTAGTTCGATCTCGACATGCCCCAAGTCTCTCCTGAAGTGCGTCGCTCAGGAAGGAAAAGGAAATTTACTCAACCACTCGACGTAAATCACAAGAGGAAAAAGTATTAAGTTTTATTTTTTTTCTCTCCTTTTCAAAAAAGAAAACTCTTTGGAAGGGGGGTATTGTGAGACCGGAAACTACCTACACAATAGACTCTTCCAGGCCTATATTAAGTAGACGACATAGCACTGTAGAGAGTTACACACAGAGATACAGAGTGACATAGAGAGAGACAGTGAGAGCCGCGTACGACTACCAGTATTGGACACTAACATATTTTCCTTCTGTGGTCCCGGATTTGGCCCACATCACTTATTTTTACTTATTAATAGATATTTTTTTTTTCAGAAATGTATAAAGAAATTATTTTTTACATTAAAAAACGAACTAATCTTTACAGTTTTCTGATCAAATTGTCAAATATATTTTACAGCATAAAACTCAAATCGTGAATTATTTTTAACTACCGATATTAAAGAATTTATTCACATTTATTAAAGACTAGCTATTATTCACGCATCCGTGGACAAAGAAGAAATTATTATGAATTATGAGCAATCCTGTTGAAGCATCGAGACGTCGCCCACATTAAGATACGAATTTTCACATGTTTTCGTGGTCTATTTTCAAGCTCTATATTGATAAGACCCTGAAGCAGCCATCTTGAATTTAAATATTACATGCGATTTGTTTGAGATGTATAATGAACGAAGTGAAAGAAAGTTAAGTAATATTCTCACCAGTACAAATAATCAATTATATTCGAAGCAAACAAACATCGATGAAATCCCAAAAGTGGAACAGTAGATGACAAGACGGAATTATTTTTGTTTTAATGTAGTCTTCATTCGCAAAGATGAATCAACTTCAGCAAATTTCGAACAGAACCATTCAAATCAACTTCTGTTGTACACAGCACCCAATATTTAAATCATATACATGTAGTAAGAACTTATAACGTGTCTTTTCAAATTGTCTTTTCAGTAAGGCCATTACGTAAATTGAAAGCCAGCAATAAATGAATCAACAGCTATTACGTCCAAGCCATGAGACTTTGTGTTACATACAATAGAAATAGCGTGTAGTGTATAACAAAGTACTGTTATAATTACTTGGCTTTATATCCACGATATAGCTAAAATAACTAATCTGATTTCAGGCATTACTGTAAATCAGTTGGTAAATGTGTCGGAGTTACCTTCTTCTAGTCTCCTTAAACCGGAAGAGAACAAGTTATTTCGACCTTGACCTGTTAACCTACAGCCTGTTAACCCGAGGTAGAGACTAGCAAGTTACCTTTTCAGTTTAGTTATATTACAAACCTAGCTGTAATATACTTCTAGACATTTTTAGGCCTTAGTTTCCTTTTAGCTAATCTCGACTTATTTTTTATAGAGACTTTACTGTGTTAGCTTACCCAATTCTCTTGCTAGTCTCCCTTACCACAAGACAGTGACTCCTCGCTAAATTTAGGGTCGACGACTGAAACGGTCGGATAAGCAGGCTCCTGGAGCTCTGTGGGCCAGGACGTCGACTCGGGCTGCGTATTAAGTTACGCTCCCATTTTTTAAACGGTTTATATCTCCTTTCGCTTGATTTCTCTCTCTCCCTCTCTCTCTTTCTCTATTTTTTTCTCGTTCTCTTTTCTTTCTCTCTCTTTTCTATCCCTCTCTCTACTTTCTTTCCTCATCTTTTCTTTCACTTTCTCTTTTCACCCCTCTTTTCTCTCTTTATTCTTTCTCTACCCTCTCCGCTCTTTTACTCTATTGCTCTTTTCCTCTCTCTCAATTTTCCTTTCTCTTTCTTGCTATCCCAATCTCTTTTGCTCTCTCTCACTCGATTCATTCATATTTATCTATCTTATGGCTTTTATTCTCTTTTCTTTTTATCTATTTCAATGTCGCCACTTCCTTTTGAATTCCGTCTCCTAACTTCTTTTCTTCCTTCTTTGAATACTTCTTCTTTCCAATTAAATTTTCACTTCTCTATTTTGATTCATTCTCATTAAATCTAAGGCTCTTTGTATTTTCCCTGGTTTACGTCGCATGATGTTTCTTTGCCTATTCTTCTTTACCCTACATCATACAAATCAGAGATCCTATTTCGTCTGCTTCCAAATTTTCCCTCTAAATCATGTACGTTTTTTTTTTCTGATGCAGAGTTACTCTTTTGATTTCGTTCCACCAGTTTCAATATTCCCCATTTTCCACCCCAGCACCAAAATGTTCGTTTCAGTCTTATTCCATTTTAATTTTGGTCACGTTCGATAGCCTTTTGCGTCGACAACATTGGTCCTTTGTATTGAATACTGTTTTGTCTCCTACGTAAACTTCATTATTCCAAGCAATTCAGCTTGCACCGTCTTTATAATAGCCTTTCTTTTTATATAAATTTTTTACTTTACTTATTTTTTAATAAGATTCTTCTCTATGAACAGATAATGCTTGCCACACCACGCTAATCTCATATATCCTTACGACTTCCTAACTGTAAATTCCCATGAAAGCAAGCATACACAGCGGGAAATAGAGAATTTCATTGATAAGTCATTATAGTGAGACACTAAACGTAGCTAAGATGTAGCACAAGGTCAAATATATGGAGCACCAATGAGAATGGAACTCATTCCTAGTCGTAATTTATCTAGCGAGACACGTTTGTTAACCATTATACAACGTTGAAAAGCCCCCGGTAAGGCTGCTAAAGAATTTTCAGTTTGAAACTGAAATTAACTTAAAACAATATTTGTTCATTTAGTCAGGCATTTTAGGATATTTAAAATTTACTAGATTTTAATATATTTAAGCTCTCCATCATGTCTTCCTAATTATAAAAAGTGTGTAACAGATGTATTAGACAGTAAGTACACAATATACTTACTTACTATATATATATATATATATATATATATATATATATATTATGGAGAAAGATTTATTCTCTCATCTGTATTTTCCCCGTGATATAATATCATTGTAGTCCACGGACAGAACGGAATGACTGAAAGAAAGACGAATGCCAAGCAGTCTTTGTTCTCAGAAAGACTTTTATATCACTAAGACATACACAAAACGATATATATATATATATATATATATATATATATATATATATATATATATATATATATATATATATATATATATGAATACCCATGTCCCACGCAGAGAATAATATATCACATATATGTATATAGGGGATGTATGGGGAAACAAAAAGGAAGAGTTTTGCACATAATATGAAGATACTCATGTGTCTGGAGAAGCCATGTTTAGAATTCCAGCATCAAACGACCCGGATTCATCTACTACATCAAAGGGGAGGACATATTCCACAAAGAGGAAAACGGCGAGACTTGTTATTTTTCTAAATTGAAGACTGCGAGCCGGAGTTTATTTCTATATTTGAGATAGATATGTTCCTAAAGGGAAACGGCACATGGGGTGGCAGATTTAGCCTCTGACACACAGGGCCCAAGCTAAAGACAGTGACATTTTCTTTTGTCGCAAACGAACTGTATTTGACTGCAACCCTCATCACTGTACAAAGTAACGTTATTAAGTGGTCGTCACCTGACCTTCGTGACATATCTCTACGAAAGGAAGATAAGCGCCCTTTGTATCCTTACAATATATCTCATAGATCTCAGGTAACTAATGGTGATATCCGTTCTTCTGAAGGAAAAAGGTGATAATTTTTCATTAACATAACAATGAGGTAATTTTTTACATATGGGAAAGAACTTCATTATATACTCAAGTGTTATTTACTAAGAGTTGTGGTTGATTAAAATGAGTATATTTCTGTCATATAGGCTTAAATGGGAATAAGCTGATTATGAAGGAGTAATGCTAGAACTGTGGAATCTTGTATGCATCAATTTCTACTTTTCTTATAAATATCCGCATTGTTTCTCCTCAAGTCAACTTATAACTGAATGTTAAAAGAAAACTTCAAACGTAACTTGTACCGACATCTCTTGAAAATGGACGAAATGTGGTATTGTAATATTATCAACTACCCGCAGAAAAAAGGATTTATCCACAAAGGTGATTTGTGCTGACATTCTTGATACATTAAGGTTTGAAACTTCAGATTTATCAGCAGTGCAAAAGTGGGTAGCTGAATTTAGTAGGGTAAGAGACAGTCTTGAAGACAATAAAAGGCCTGGACATTAATCGTGTTGACCACATTGTAATGGACGACAGACTATTTACTATAAATCCATTAGCCAATGCTATTATTATGTGCAGTGAGAGAGTTGATAATATTCTGCATAATAAACTTGGCATGACGAAGGTTTCTGCTCGATGGGTGTTACGTCTATTGGCATCTGAAGTTAAGCACACAAGGCTGTTCACATCACGAAAATGTCTGACATTTTTTGAGGCAGATCCAGCTCGTTTCCCTGAACGTTTCCTAATCAAGAATGAGTGTTGTGTTCATTACTTTGAGCCGGAGACAATGATACAATCCATAGAGTTGAAACACAACCCCTCAGTTGTTCCAAAGAAGACCAAGGTCATTTCATTAGCAGGGAAGGTTTCCTTTTTAGGATGCAAAAGACATCGCTTTGAAGCAGTATCGCAGTGACGATGACGTCATCACTTTTGATGACTTTTGATAACTTTTTGATGACGTTTCTACCAACGGGATGAAAGCTTCTTTACCAATGGGATGCAATCATTGTAACACCGATTGAAGAAATGTTTAGACCATAAGGGGGATTATAATAAAAAAAATAATCTTTAGTTACATTCTATGTACGTTTGGCAACTGACTCTTGTATTTGACTGATTTTTCAACTGACTCTTGTATTTGGCCTGGCGATTTTCACTTTGCTATTTTAGGAAAGTTCCAAATGATTTACCCGGAGTTAAAGGGGGAAGCACCCTCCTTTACAGACGCAACGACACAAGCTTATCGCTACTCTGTCGCTGCAATCTCCAGTTTCACCAGTTCAGAACTTTAGCGCTAGGACACCTCATGCAGTATCCAGGGAGGCGAGCCTACGTTAAAATCACGATGAAGTAGTGTTGAGTCCGATCAGTACTTCGTTTGGGGACCGGTTTGAAACACCGGCTACTCTGGGAAACCTCCTACAATCAGAAATGTTTCGGCTTTAAAGAGTTAATAATACGTAAAAGAAAAAAAAAACAAAAACAAAGAAAAAACAGAATAAAAAAGAAGTTGATTTGTATTCATTTTCCCATTTAGAAAATGTAAAATGAAATTGTTATAAGATTTCTAATTGTCGTACACTCGCTTGGATATATCCATGGAGATTATAATCTTAAATTCAAGGGTGAAACGTTATCTATCTTATAGTCTTCATTTCTTTCTACTTCCTCTTCAATTCGTACGAAACACTTCCTTCACCACAATCATAATAAAATTATCAGTATGTCGAGGTTTTAATGGGCTTTTACTACAGAATAAAAACGAGGATCTAGCAATTCTATCAGATAAATCATATTTTCAACAAAAAAAAACAACAACATAGTAGCAACATCGAATGTGCTGAGGCTGTGGCTGCATTCACTAACAGACGAGCCTCTGAGATGAAGAAGACAAACTAATTATTAATTTACCAAACAATTTATATTAACTTGACTTTTAATAAGCATTTACTGGATCTCAAATGTGTTTGCACAAGAGATTTTTGATCGTCCATTTTCTCAGTTTAATACAAATAACTGTCACTCTTTACCCCATTTTATAATTTAATCTTGATAAAAGTCCGATCGCAAGAAAACAAATTGAATATGAGCCAAAAGTTTCGAATTCATTTATTTTATGATGTTAAAAAGAAGAGTAATTCACTGATTTAATTTGTAGAACACACGATAAAAATCGAATGGAAGAGGCATATATTCTAGAAAGAAAGTCACAGAAATAAGAGTAAATCGATAAAAACAAAAAAATAATACCTGATAACATTTGGTTGTCCGTAATATATTCTTTAGAATATCGATGGTCATAATATTTTATAGGACCAGCAGAATTGTAAACAGCATTACGAAAATCATGAGTGTTAAGATGAAGTATTGATCAAACTTACTTTCACTTTCATAAGTGTTATTCTAACAAATGAAGTAAAAATTAAAACACTCAAAGAACCAAAATGTAGTCAAGAAAATGTCGTGCCTTTGAAATTAAGAAACATCATTACTAATAATTATTAGTAAATGCATGAAATCTGTACGTAGCAAAAGAAAGATAACTTCGATTGAGTTGAGACAATTTTCCTCTGGGGGCCGAATACACAATCTTATGTATTTGAACTGGAAGCATTTATTTAAATAAAACAAGAAATAGCGATCGACGGCTATCAGCGAAGAAATGGTATCGGTAAAATGATTTTAAAATCCTAACAGAACTGAACACATACTACAAGGAAAAGCATGAATCCATTTCATCTACATTCAGCTCTGGGTTCCAGAGAATAGACTGGGTTCTTTAGACTTGATTGGTAGCTGATCTGGAGTAAGCCATCTCTAAATTCAAAACCGTGGTGGGTGTCAAAGTGAAAACCACTTCACAATCTTGCTCCTGAAAAAAGCTGTAGCAATTCACAGTCAAAGGAAATTGATATGAGTGGTTCTAATATCCTACGCCATGAAGAGACATTGTATTAAAATGTTACAATCTATCTCTTATTCACACCAGAATTTCGGATTATGTTAATATAAACAATGAACAGAAATTTCCTCAGCGGAAACAGCGGATGATCTATATTCTACGATTTTTCGTATGTTCAATCCCTGAGTCAGGTAGTGTGCACTTGCACTCACTGAAAACGGGCGATCAATAACTGAACAGAGGTAAATAGAAATAAGACCTAGACGTTATTCCTAGACTCTACCAGGGGAAGAAGAAAAGTCTATTCCTATAGATTAAATAAAGTGTTCAGCACGGAATTCACTGTAGGTTATCCAGATTGATATATATCTGATGAAGGCCGGGACACACCGGCAGAAATGTTGTGATAACAACAACGAATAGTCCGAATATAAATAGTGTAAATAATGATTTTTTGGGAACCGTAACTATATACAATTTTGCTAATTAAGTGGAAAATCTACCGGTGGAAAAATTAATCTGTTTTAATTCGGCATGTCAGCTCAAAGTCCCTGGAGTTGACACTCCGATCTAATTTCGATCAGCCTCGACTCAGATATTTTGACCTGGAAGCTCTGATTTATTAAATTTACTAAATACACCGTCAGGGAAATAAGAGTATAAGCCTTACGAATTAGGAATCGTTCTGCCTACTAATAAAGTCCGCCTAGTCATTGCTATGAAAAATGAATCTCTCTCCTCCTCTTTCTGCCTTCTTTCTCTCCGCTTTCTCCGCTCTCTCTCCCCTCTCTATAATCCCCGACTCTATCTCCCCCGCCCCTCTCTCTCTCTCTCTTTCGTTCCCTCTCTCTCTCATCCACCTTCCCTCGTAAACCCTCCTCTCCCGCCCCCTCCTCTCTCTCTCTGAAACTCTTCGCTTTCCACATTTCTCCAAAGTCTGGAAAAAGTTGCCCTCGTTGCGTATTCAAGCGCAAAAAAAAAAAAAAAAAAAAAAATGACTTCTTCAACTTTTTTCGATTGTTCGAGATTTTTCAACAAGGGGGTTAAATTTTGATGAGGTCATTATTTTTTTTTTTTTTTTCATCCAGCCAAAGTGACCGCCAAGGAGGGAGCATTTAAAATCCAATCAGATACTTGTGAAAGGCACAACAATACAAACTCAACCAGCCAAGATAGCCCTAAGTTGTATCATGTACAACAAAAACAATAACGCAAAAGCGTATTAATGTAAATATCCCCAAATGGGTAATTAATTAATCGTAATCAATTTAATAAGTAATAGTAAGCTTGGAGAGGCGAATTAACCAGAGGTAACTGACAACTGACATCCATTAGACATGGCACGTAGAACTAGAACAGTATACTCCACCAAGCGAAATAAAGGGTTCAGTCCGACATTCCAACCACCTGAAGAAGTCCGGTGCGTATAACGGCCGAAACGTTGTGATAAATATGGCAACAAAGATGAAGACAATAGTCCGAATAATGTAAACAGTGTAAATAGTAAATTAGTTGGGAATCATTTCTTTTATGTAATTACCACATGCAAGTATAGCGTGGATAAAAATAACTAATCCCTCATAACAATCGCCAGTACTTGCCTAGTAAATGAGGTGAATGCTTTCTTCATTATTATTAAAAATGTATGTCACAAGAGCATACATTTATTTTAATGCTAATTCCTCCGAGTTAATCGCTGTTATTGTTAAAACAAAGATTTTCAAAAATCCTCATGTATTTTGTTTCTGCGCTGGTTCATTTTTGAGAAATTCGTAATTAGTTTTATTTTATATTACTAGAAATACAAGTGAAAATTTTTATTTTCTGATGATTCTTAATAATTAAGTTAATAATTGAATCAGCTCATGTGAAGATCTATCTGTATAAATTCGCCTATCGCATCGTTAAATATTTTAGCTTTACTTTAACAGAATATTGCAATAACAATCAAATACGAAAGCTGGCCATTATTTTAAGAAGAGGTTACAAAGGAAAAGATTTGAAATTGACAACTTTTTCCATTTCAGTGAAAAAGATGTTAAATACTTTCTTTCATTCATTTTCTCGCTGAAACCATGTAGCGTCTCTATCTTTCCGGCTTTCCATGCGATCAAAACAGAATAGTCTATTATTTATGAGATATAACAGTCGTGCTAACTAAGACACGGACATGCAGAACTGTGGGTAAGACTTGTGTACCCGTCTCATGAAAAATGATAGTAATCGTTAAAAAGTTTTAATAGCGAGATGAAAATGAAAAAAAACATTGTAACAATTTATTGAGATTCAATGAAGTAAGAATAATGAATTCACTACTGAATTAGATGGTATTTAGGATTCATTGATTACACTTGGTATTTTATAATTCTCTTTGTCCTCACTATCTTTAAATATTGAAAATGTTATATGTTTAATATAACAGTGAAATGGAAGTATCTCGAAAGAAAAAGTGTAGCAACAGAACAACAAAGATGGCGACGACAAAACATATTTGATGACCATCTCGAAGTAAGGCGATCACTTTATAGACAAACGTATATGTATGCCTCACAGGAAAAAAATAAACAGAAAACACTCGAACAAATAAAACTGCAATCTAAGACACGCAAGAATAAAAGGAGTAAGTAATTAAACTGTTCATTCTTAGGAACTAATTTTGTCTAGATGTAGATAATTATTTTATTTGTAAAAAAAAAAAAACAACAAAGGGAAGTAATCACTTACTAAGTTGATTTACTTCCCTTGCTACTGCTGATGGGGCAGGAAATATATAAATAAATGCACTGGAAATACATAAATGAAAGTACATTATTATATTCTTGTGTTTTATAAGTAATGTAAAGAAGAATGTTTTTACTTTATTTGAAAGTCGGATTTAAATTCATTTTTTAGAGTTACCTTTGCTATCCATTTTATTTGTTGCCGCATTTGATTTTCCACGAGTGATGCTTATCGAGCATTTTTTCATGATTGATATATATTTTATTCTCGACAGAATGGTCCAACACAGAACGAATTTCTCCCGAAAATTGAAATCACAAACATTGTTTCAGAAATGATGATAGTAATAATAGCTGTTTCCCCATAAGAAAACATTTGGAATTTGGAAACCGCCATGACTATTTTCGTTTGAAATTTATAAAATCTTTCATTTGAAATACTTTTTTTAAATAAAAGGAAAATGGGTGTCTCAGGTTCAGTAGATTTTATCGCTCTTTCCAGTATTGATGGGGATTTTCTTTCGAATATTCTATTTGAATTGGTGTGGAATGTTACATCATAATTATGACATTATTTTCTCTTCGAGTTACATATGTGTTGAAGCTTAAATAAGCATGGAATAATACAACACAAAATGTACGTTAACAAAATGTATTGAAACAAAGAATAGGTACACAATATTTACAGTTAGTTTGGTATATTCTTGGGAAGACTGTTCCTGCATAATGGGTTGACTAAATCGCAGTCGGGCAGAGTCTCTGGATTCAATTTCTTAATCTCTACTATCTTCCCCGTCTTCCGGTACCAACCCATATTTATATGGTCGGTAGTCCGCTTATGTAAATTAGGTGTATCATACACAACAATATGCTATCCATTTTAATTGTTGCTGCTATTAGTAGTCATCAAGTGATGTGTTTTCTCTTATTTGGTGCAGTTTTCTGTTTGTGATTCTGTAGCGCCAATTCAGAATGTGCAAAGAAAGATAATATTTGCCAAGACCCCCAGGCTTCATTGGCTCAAAGCCTTTTTTTTTTCACCATTGATCTTAGGAAGCGGTTGTATAGAGCTGACAATTTTAATATTTCTGGACGGGTTTAGTACCATTCATGGAATCCATAGGAAAGTCTCAATCTGACGAGGCCATTTAAGTAAATGATACGAATTTCAGGTTTATGTTTTCAAGCATTGATTAACAAAGGACTAAGCCGCTGTCTCAAATGGCCGTCATTGTACTCTGATTTTTTTTTTAAGATTCTGTCGTATCACTGCCATTTCCTAATTGATAAAATTCTGGCCTCAGTTTTAAGTGATGAATTATATTATATAAAAAATTTAAGGAGTGAAAATATCAGATTTCAAAATTATGTTGGTGCATAATTATCAGACGTTTTTGTAGGTGAATTATTTGTTAATAAAAATTGCTGTTTTATTAACTTTTTTAAATAAAAATATTTTATTTTCTGCTTATAAAAAACGTGTCGATAATAATACTCATTTAAACATGTCATTGTTTAATAGTTATGTTTCTTTTTTTCATAATTAATATTGTTTAAAAAAGCCTAATAATTATGCACCAACCCAAAAGTTGATAATTGTTGTTTAAATATATAGACGTACACCAGTTAAAACTGACACCAGGGAGGGATATGAGATCCTGACGATGACCAAAGGATACTTAACTGAAGCCTTGTGACTATAATAGAAGCTATAACAATCATGAGCAAGTATTTCGAATAAGGCAAAATATATTGAGAAGTCTACACTGAAATATATAATTTTGTTTTTAATTTTATCTATAAAACCTTAAGTGATTCAAAAGAATAAAACAATGAATAATTCCTTTGTTTTTATTTCTAATATTTTGTTTCCAAAATATATTGAAAATTTTGTTATCAATTTCATCATGAAAATATAATTATATTTCTTTTGTTTCATACATCGATCGATATTTGTTTTTTGAACAAAAAGTAGTCGTGCTTAACTTCATGTGAAATATATTTTTTCTAGGCTTATACGAGAGTAGTATGAACATTTCCTAGGATGACGAAGATATAAATCTAAGTCGAGACACCAAATGGTAGACTAAAAGACATGCAAGTGTAACAGAATACAGTATTTTTCCGACAAGTATATATCTTCATAAGAGGTGATGTGTGTGGTACCTGTACTGGCACGGTAAGGAATGGGTGTCGAATTCTAGCAAAGAATGGTCATGTTTATTTCCCATTAAGACTTTTGATGAAGATCGTGAATCAGCATTACGCTTGTTCACATTTTGGTCAATTTTCACGCCATTGGCTGATGAGGAAGTCAAAAAGAAAAAAAAGCACTGCAGCATAACAATAGTTCTAGAACAGGAGTCGGCAACCAACGGCACGCGTGCCACACGAAGCATACCAATTAACTTCCAATGGCAGGCAGCCGCAAATGACATCACGAAGTCCGAAGCAATAACTACTACAACGCAAAGATGAGAATTAACTGTTTCAATTTTAACAGATACTAAAATATATATGCTATATATTACTATATAAAATATATTATAGAACAGGTATATTGACATTGGCTTGCAAAAATAAGTATGCTGTTGGCCCACTGAATGATTTTAAAACCTTAAGACGGCACATAGTAAAATATTGCAGAACACTGCCCTTGATGATGCTTTTATGTTCGTTGATTTTGTGTAGCGCCATATCAACGGGTATTTCTGGGGGTATTTAAAGCCAGAACTAAATAATTTGAACACAATTTTATGGATTCAACTCAATATATTTTGCCTGATATTGTATGCGTTCAACTACAGATAAAATGTATTGCTAGTCCTTTTTTAATATAAAAAGTACTCCTTATATTAATACAACAAACATGTTTTTTTACACTTTCATAGATCTTTTTTTTTGGGGGGTCACTATTTGCCTATAAATGAGACCCTAACAGGTGCTATCATCCTGAGTCACGGTGGACCGGGGAACGACACATATTACGATGTTATATCCTTCGACATTAGTAAATACTATTGTCTTCATTGGAAATCTTACACACGCCAAGCAATTTATATTTAGGAGGGACACTGTGGGAATTTCAGAATAAATCCAACCGTTTTGCAGCAAATTTAATCGTGCTTAATCAAGAATATGTTTAATTTGTAAATTATTCTCAGTTTATTTATGAAATCATAAAACG